CATTACTTTAATAATTTACAAATGTATTTATTGTCGTCAAAAATCAAGTAAAACTTATTTTATAATATTTTACTAATTATATAATATTTATTTTGACTAACTTGTAAAAAATATTATATCAATTATCTTATTGTAAAGTAAATTAAATTTATTGTTATAGTTATAAATTAGATTTATTTAAAAATATTATTTGTTTTAATTTTGGTAATTTTTTTATAAAAATATTTTTATACTTTTCGTCAATATTTTTATTACTAATTAATTTAATAAATTGTAAATTTTTATGTCGTGGCATCAATAATAATAAATTATGATCAAGGTTACTAATTGTACTAATATTTAAATATATTAAATGTGGAAAAATATTGTAGATTTCATTGAAAAACGATTTTTCTATGTTATAAGTTGTCGCAGATTTCATAGTTAAATGAGTTAAATATTTGCATTTATTTATTGTATTAATTGATAAGACAAAGTCTGCTGGATAATTGGCGATTAATATTAATGTAAACAAATTATTATTTAAATTTTCATTAATAATTAAAAAGATGTTAATTAAATTAGCATTTGTTATATTAGTTAACTTTAACGATAATTTTGTAACATTTTTGTGGCAATTTTGAGCAAAATGTTGAAAATGTCTAACAAAACAATTATCGATTGTTTCTTTCATTTCAATCATTAATTTATGTAATTTTTTAAATTGTATTAATCCCGACATAATTGTCTCGATAAACAAGTCATCATAGCTGTCATATAATGTTATGGACAGTGATGTTAAATATTTGGCATAATTTTGAACAAATAAATCAAAATCATTAATATCTAGAGTAGAGTTATTGAAGAAAAGTCTAATATTTTTAAGTTTGTGAAAAACAAATGAATTATTTTGTGGAAAAAATTGGAAAAACTCTTTAATCTCTTCAAAAGCAAAATTAACAGACAATTGGTGTAAATTAAAACATTTTTGAAGATTATCACTAACACAGTCATCGACGGTATTATTGCCAGTACTTCTTAAGTTCAGACGTTTTAATTGTTGACTAAATTTGTTAAATAATTTGTTAATTGTTTGGAGTGTTAGATAACGATCGCAATACAAGAAAATATCGGTTAAATAATTACAGTTATCACAAATCATATCAACAATTAAATCATTGTGTGAATAGTTTACTGGTATATAGTTATGTGATATAATTTTACTAATATATCGACATTTTTGTAGTACAGTCATCATTGGATTAATATTTAAAAACCATTTGTTTTCACTGATGTGTTTAATTTTGCACAATATATGATAGATATCCAATGTTTTCTGTGAATCAAATATAAAACATTTCCACTGTTTAGACACACATTCATATCTGAAGCGGTCATCAAAGCACAGGTACTCAAGTATAGACAGACACAGGTCGTCACCAAACCGGTCAAAAGAGTCGCGATTGATATTCATTTGTAATTTATTTATTAAACATTTGGATATAAAATCATAAAATATAAAATTAAAACAGTATAAAAGTATATCAATTAAGTTTAATTTAACAATTTATTTTTGTTTATTAGTTAAAATTTATTATTGCAATTTAATTGAAATACTCGATTTTACTCTATCATTATATATATTTTATTTAATATTTATTATTATAATACAATCAAAACCTTCATATTAATATAAAAAAATAATAAACACAATATTATTTCTATGGTTATAATCATTTATAAATTAAATAACATTTCATTAGATTATAATAATTTATTTATATTATTTTTTTCATATTTGTTATGAATAATGTACTGTATATTTTGTTAAATAATTAATTGCATATTTATAATGAATATAGTTATGAATTTAGTAAAAAATTATATTTACAATATATAATTATTTCAAGATATTTTTGGATTTTATTTATAAATTAAAGTTTTTATTTTTTTTTAAATGATTAATAACTTATTATTTGTTATGAATTAGTTTTATCATTCATATAACTGTTATTTTTAATGTCAAGATTGTTATCTAATTTGAATTCACTGTTAATCTCTTGTTTATATAAATTTGATTGACTTTTATCAAAGTTAGTCTCGTTTTCATCTGAAGAGTCCATCATTTTATTTCCGTTTAACGGCTTAGAACCAAAACCATTGCCCGAACCGCTACCAACATTATTACCTCCATTACCCAAACCTGATGTCCACAAACCGGGAACACGATGTGGTGGTCGTCGGTGTGGTGACGCCGGAGGTAATAGACTACCGCCTATTATTCCATTCCCGGAACTGTCGCCAACATTATTACCTCCATTCCCGCTGTTGTACGCAGAGTTACCATTGTTTAGACCCGAACCAAACCCGTGATGAGTACCACTTTTTCCATTTCCTGTGTTATTTCCCCTATTATTACCACCGATTCCAGTATTATCACCGCTGAATTCAAAATCCCTTTCTTCTTCGTCATCAAACACTACGTGTCCATTGCCTACATTATCTCCGGCATTATTACCGCCATTTCCATTGTTCCACCCGTTAAACGCATTTTCATTGCCTGACCAAAGGCCCCAATTTTTACCGCCGTTTCCATTGCCAGACCAGTGGCCAACATTGTTGCCTCCGTGACCCCAATCTGATCCATTAACACCACTGGGCACTCCTTTATCTGGTTTCTCTCGAGCACCGGGTTTGCCCCTAACAATACTATTAAACGAGTTATCACCGGCATTATTGCCACCGTTTCCGTTGTTCCAACCATTCAAACCGTTCCAATTTCCCGATATTAATCCGATGTTAGTGCCTCCGTGTCCATTGCCAGCATAGTTACCAGTATTATGACCTCCTAACCCACCACCTCTACTATTATCTCCATTATCATCAATACTGCCATTTAAATTGTTACCGCCATTACCGATATTAAAACCGTGACCACCATTGTTATTTCCCGAAGCAATACCGATATTTATACCTCCATTTCCATTGCCTTCGTCTACTACACATCGCATTCCATTTGCATTTACCGATCCAATACCCTGACCACTGTTACCATTACCCGAACCAATGGCAAAATTAAGACCACCATTTATGTTGTGCCAACCATTTTCACCATTATTATTTGCCGCACCTAAGCCTATATTAATAGCCGACAAGCCTCCCGGTGCTGAAGTTGTCTGAGTCGGTCCACAATAACAACGTTTGTCGGGCAGTACTGGTCGGGTAGTAATTTGACCGCTTGTCTGTTTGTTTGGCATTAATTTATCTTTTTCATCGTTAACTGATTTTGTTGTTGTAATGTCCAACATATCTGGACTTGAGATCTCAATCATATCCATTTTGGTACAATTGATTGACTTGTATTTATGACTAAAAAAGTTGAGTTCATCCACTTTGAGATCAGTCACTGGTTTTACATAATCACAAGTGGATGTTCTCAACGATGTCTGATCTTTATTTACGGCACCGCTTACTATATACATCCGCGACTTCTTCAATGTCACTCCACAAGAGTCTTGTGAAGTCCATATGATGTCCTGCGAGTCCAATGTTAACCGTTTATTGTTTTCGTCATCAATTTTGTATATATGAACCAAACGGTATCGATAGCCGATCCGTGTATTGAACGATCCGGGGACGGCCTGATAGAGCCGGTCCGAAATTACCATTATTTTGGTAACAAAATCTGAGTTACAATAGTGATGAATAAGACTGTCACGACTTTCACACTCATTATCCACACATAGAAACTGTGGATTCATGGGTTGGGTGCACACACAGCACCGGTAGCATCGAAACAAACATATTGTATATATTGTTAAAAATGTTATTATCTTTAGTAAATAATCGGTCATTTTTAATTTTATATCTATTATAACTATTAATTATTGATCTTTAAAATGTTTAATTACAATTAACAAAAAACAAAATTAAAAACAAATTTGTTAAAATAAAAAATCAATATCACATTTACATAATTAGGGTAACATTAATAAATACAGCATATTTTATTTTTTAACTTATTTTGATTAGTTTATTTAAACAACATATATAATTAATTATATTTTAATTATAATATATATTTTTTAATAAATTAACTTTTAGAATAATCTAGGCTAAATTTGTTACATAAAAATATGATAAAATAAAAAATTTGTGCTGTCCTAATTTTTCACTTTTATGTAGATCATATTTTTTGGTTTAATAAAAATTACAATAATTTACCTACACATATGTATACTAACATTAAATATAAACAAATTAAATTATACGGTAAAGGTCGATATTAGTTTACTCATAATAATTTAATTATTATTAATTTTAGGAATTTTATGTAATATCTATGAATACTATTTTTATAAGATTTTACAAAATTAAATAACCCAATTAAATATTTAAAATTATATATTCAGTACAATAAATCTTATATTTGTTTAAAAAGTTACAGAAATAACAATAATTAAATTTTGCAAAATAACAATAATAATATCAAATCATTTAACACTATAATGTAGTTTTGTTATACAAACAAAATTTAAATATTTATAATAAAATCATTCATTTGATTTCATATCATTTATTTTTAGTATATTTATGATAAAATTTCTTATCAAATTGTGTACTCAATCAGTGATAAAAAAAGTGTTATTTACTGTATTTAGGGTTTGATATAATGATCTATCATTGAATATATTTTCATAAATTCTATTATTTGATTATATTCCCATACAAATATTTTAACATTTTGCAAAAATTTATTTGTTTTAAATTAATTTGCTATTTATATTAATAATAAAATTAAATTTTGTTGAAATTAATTAATAAATTTATAATAAAAGGCTTTAATGAAATTACTATTTTCTCATATGATAAAAAATAAAAATAAAATATATATATATAACAAAAATTAGAGGGAATTGATTGATGAGTTTGCATATTGGGGATTACACTAACACTATACACAATACTATATAAGCGCATCAAAATTGTGGTATTTTAATAATTTAAAATTTTAATTTAAAATATACATTGTAATAAAAATTTATTTTTACATAAATATTATATCATTATTATTGAAAATTTATTAGTGATTGAGTTTATATGAAACTACAAAAAATGTATGAACACATAGTTGATAGCAATTTATGCGTTGAAAATAAATTAAATTATCAATCGGTTATTGATTTAATTATTGATCGATTGCATACCAATTCTGATGACAATTTATTTGTAAGTTTAGTTAATAATTACTTTAATTGACAATAAAATTATGCAATGTTTGACATAAATATTTTTTATTATTTATTTAATAGATTGATTGCACATTAAACCGAAAGTGGACTAAAAAGCAAGTGTTGGACTCGAGTCTTAACTTTGCTTACTATTTGATAAATGACTGCAAACTAGCAAAAGGAGAGATCATTTGTTTTGTAACCCAAAACTCGGATATTCACGCCATCGGTATTATCGGTTCACTGGCCGCAGGACTTGTCTACTGCTGTCAACCGCATCATTCAACTGAAAGTATTACATAAATAATAATTTTCTAATTGTTTATTTTAATTTCAACATTAAATTTATGTAAAATTTATGAAAAATTTATTTTATTTATTAATTTAACATTAGTTTAACTTTTTTTAGGTGAAATCAGAGATAATGTCAGCAAAATAAAGCCATCGGTATTAGTATGTTATGAACAAAATGTGGAACAAGTTATTAATATTGCCAACAGTTTTCCATTTGTTAAAGTAATATAAATTATTAATAATATTAGTATTTATCAATATATTTAGTACTCTATTATAGCTTTAAGTATTAATCATTACAGATAAAAAAAAATTTAAATATTAATATTTATTATTAATTATATATTTATTAATATTTAATATAACTATAGAAAATTTTGATGACGGATAAGCCACAAGATAATAGTGAACATAATATTGATTTTCCCATATCATTGGAAAATATATTTACTATTGAAAGAGATTATCAATTTAAATTACCCGTTAATTCACAACTTACCGAAACGGCCACATTTGTGCTGAGCAGTGGATCAACTGGACAGCCAAAAGCTATTATCAAAACTAATAAAAATTTATTATCGACTGTCGAGGCATTAGCGCACCGGGAGATAAGCAAATTAACCCCGAATGACATAATGCTTTCGAGTAATTTCTGTCATATATCAGGACAAAGATGTCTATTATCAACCATTGATGGCAACGCACAGTTAGCTATCATACGTGTCGATGAAGATCTGGAAGACGTCTATCACAATATTCATAAATATAACATTACAACCGCTTTTTTGATACCAACACAATTGAATTATTTGGCAAAACATTGTGACACTATCGACAAAAACTATCTTAAATCTTTAAAAGATGTGGTAACGGGTGCGGCATCGTTGTCTGAGACTACCTACCGGTGCATTGTCGATAAGTTTGCATTTGAAAAATTTCGTATTTGTAATGACATATGAATTTTAAACAATTTCTATATAATAAATTATATATTATTTATTTAAAAAATCAGGTTACGGTATGTCAGAAGTTGGATGGGTTACACAAACCCCGTTATGTGAAATAAAAAATGTAGACAACAATTGTATTGTCGGTAAAGTTGTACCAAATACTCAAATCAAAATAATTGATGAAAACGGTAAATCATTGCCGGCCAATACTAGCGGACAAATATGTATTGGGGGTGAACAGGTAGCTTATAAATTATACATATATTATGAAAAAATGCTAATAAACTGTATTATTATTTTTTTTAATATTAATAATAATAGGTAACTCCAGGCTATTTAGAAAATAAAGAGGAAAATGAAAAACTTTTTACAGCTGATGGATATTTAAAAAGCGGTGATATTGGCTATTATGATGACAACCATTTTATTTATATAGTCGGACGCATTAAAGATGTCATAAATGTTGAACGTATGAACACATTTGAAAATTTAAAAAAAATATATTATTAAAAATATAAAATTTATTTACAAAACAATTTTTTATTTGATTTCAGGAGTAATAGTAAGACCGGCAGAGTTGGAAAGTATATTGTTATCGCACAGGGATGTCATGAATACTGCAGTTATTGGTGTCAAAGATGAAGAAAGAATTGAAGTTCCGATGGCTTTTGTTACTGTTGTCAATGGATCTCAAGTGACGCCTAAAGAACTCATTGATTACGTGGACTCAAGGGTTAACTACTATAAGAAACTTAGGGGTGGACTCAAAATACTCGAAGCATTTCCTATGACTTCATTGAAAAAAATTAATAAATCAGAGTTAAGACGACTCTATACTTAATTATATTGAATTTACTATATATACTATATATAAGTAACAAATATAAGTCTATATATATATAATATATATTTTTATTGGAGTAAAATAAAAATAATATTGTTATATTTTATATAAATTGTTTTTACATTTATGTCTATTATGTACTATTAATATAATAATTGCTCAAATATTTGTTTATAAAGATTTAATCTTATTAAGTGTACTGACATTATAAGCAACATTAGTTTTATTAATTTTTATTAACTTAATGTAATCAAGTAAATAACTTATAAAAAATTAATATAAATATAAAGTTATTTTTACAAAACTATTATAAAAATAACAATTTAATTTAATTGATTAACTATTTTTTTGAATATAAGTTAAAATTATTTGTTCAAAAAAAATTATTGTTAATAAAATCTTTTGTATTTATAATACTATTACTTTGATTTTAAAAATAATTATGACAGCAATAGAAAATAAATTTTTAACAATTTCTTATACATCATATAAATTGCATTCATTAATAAATTGTTGTGATTATAAAAATATTTATATTAACAGTAATTATGTTAATACACAATCAAAATTTATAATTGGTGTTTCAACTACCGGTAATACTAATAATATGGTAATAATTTTATAATAACAGTTACAATGATATTAAATAACTTAATATTTTCTTACTTTTGTCGCATAATTTATTATTAAGATATTTTATTTTGGTTTTCTACAATCATTTATCAAATATTTAACATGCTCACTTAATTTAACTGTTGTACTAAAAAATATTAATCTTGATTATATGTCTATGGAATACAATTTTTGGGTTTGTATAATTTAAATAATAAAAAATAATAATTATATTTTTTAAATTAATATTTTGCAATTTTCATTTTAAATTAATACATAAGATAACTGATTTTATATCAGAGACAATAAACTCTCAATTTATGAACTTTCAATTGAGTCAAACTGATTGCCAGCTAATTGCTGAACAAAGATACTTAACTGAAATATTGACGGCTCAACAATTGGAAAATGAGAATGCTCATTTAAAATCTATCACCTTGGTGAATTGGAGGGTATTTTAATTATATTAATTATAAATTCTAACTAATAATATATTATTACGTTAATCACAATATTTAAAGTGATATATTAACTAATGTTTATTTTAATGCATAAGGTTTGGACAATAGTAATGTTTTTTGCTATACTAAATGGCAATTTGCGTAATGTTTTCATATATATTATTAAATGTTTGTTATATCCCATATTACTATTACTATATATTTCAAGAATTAAATCCAGAGATTATATTATTGATAAAATTGATGTCAAAAACTTTACATTTTGTACAAACAAAAGAATTTTACTTATATTAACATTAGTATGGATTATATGCTCGACTGCATTGGCCCGTAGTTTCTCCAGTGTATTGTTTACTATGTATTTTAGACCGAAACCCATTAAAACTGTCGAAAGTTTTAATGATTTGGTTAAAAACAAAAATATTCGTATATTTGATTACATGAATTCATTTAAATATTTAAAAATAATAAAACCACAGATCTATAGTAAACTTGAGTTTAGATATGAAAGAGATATCAAAGATTTTGAAGCACATTATCATGAGTTGAATCCGACGGATAAGTTGGTAAATAAATTGGATCAGTTGGTCAAAGGACAGGCAGTTTTAATACAGAACTCAAACCACAACAACCGTATTATGCAGTCATATCCAGAGTCTCGGTTAAGGACAGCCAGTGAACGACATTTTCATTATTATTTAATGTATTATATTAACCGAAATAATCAATATCACAAAAACCTTAGTAAATAGTAAGTAAAAAATATCTTAAATTATTAATAAATAATTATAATTAATTTGATAAAATAATTGAAAAAATCAAAATTTTTATTGCATTAGTTTAGAAAATTGTATTGAAAAAGGGTTTTACAAAGATATGTTAGCCAAACAACATGTTGTTATATCAATGTTAAGCAAAATGATTGATATGTCTGCCAAACAACGTAAAAGTTTGTTCAAAAAATTTAAAAGAAATAGATTATATGAAAGACAACATTTAGACAATAAAAGTGTCATCAGATTAGACAATAACTCTGTGTCCATGTTTTATGTGTTGATCATTGGATATATTATTTCGTTGTGTATATTATTGATTGAAATTACTAAATTAAAACAAATATTATTATTATTAAATTAACAATTCATTTATAAATGTTTTTGAATGATTTTCAAATTGTATTTGCTTAACATAAACTAAATAAAAATTAAATAAACATTTATATCATTAATTATTGATTAAGTAAGAGAAAAATAAATAATTTTTATAAATACAACTGTTTTTATAGTATTATAATTGATTATTTAAATAACAAGCATATAAATAATCAAATTGTATAGAAAATATGAAAAATTAAATTCTTATATAAAATATTTATTCAATTGTTTTACTTAAATTTGAGACCAAATTCAGAGACAAATCAATTGTTAATGCATTCATTTTCCACAGGTTTGTCATCTAATTTATTATCATTTAAAATAAATCATAGATTTTTTCTATTCAATTGGTATTTTTTATACAAATTATTAAAAACATGTATTAATATTTTTTTCTTATTGTTTTCATAATAGTATATGTACTATAAGTATCATTGATATTTGATAAAAATATTATTAATCTTTTGTTGTTTTTAGTGTAAAAGATATTTTATTTGTGTGATATATAAATTTAAATTAGCTTTTATTGAAAAATAATATTTTTTATATTGTATTCTTTATATAAGTATTTTTTATTGTAATATATTGATATATAAATTTATTATATAATCAAATTTTATAAAAATAGGAAAAAATACTTTTAAAAAATTGAATTTAATTACAAAGAAAAAACACAATTATTAATACAAAATATTAATATAAAAATTCATCATAAGATCTAGAAATAGAAAAATAAAATAATAAATATCTAAATATAATAATTAAATAAATAATTTTTTAGAATATTAATATTATTAAATAAAATTATTATTACTTTATGCAACTATAACCGTCAAAAATAGTTATTTGTAAATTATGAATAATTTACGTATATCAGTAAAATTATACTATTATATTATTATATTATATTAAACAATGCAAAATATAATGTATAGTATATTTTAGCGTTTATTGACTAAATTTTATGTAAATAAAGATTTTATATTTATTATCTGAAAATTCTAAACTTAAAATACTATTTTATAGAGGCGTTAGTTAAAAGTATTGTATTATAAAATATTATTTTATAAATATTCATTATTTTAATAGTTTATTAATTATTTAAAAACAGATCAATAATACTTTTATTAAACATATCTTTTTGTTATACATATTATACTTAAGGTATATTATAGAAAAGTATTTTACATATTTAATACTTCAATAATAGTATTTATTATAGAAACTACATTTATATAAATGATAATATAATATATTATTTTACATAAGGTTAATAGATTATTATATAAATTTACTTAATAAATATAAATTATTGAGATTACCGAAGATATCAATGGATAAATTTTTAATACAATTAATCGCACCGTTTGAAAGCACGACATGCTATCCTTATAATGTATATTTTCATTGTATAAATAACAATACTACCAGTGCTAATAATATAACAATTGGTGTCAAATATTTTGAAATTAAGTTTGTAAGAAATTTTTAATTTTTAAATAAAATATAATTAATTAACTAAAATTTAAATTTAAAATAACTGTTTTTAATTTTGAGGTTATTCTCTATGGCTTACTCACTGAAATAATCAATTATTTATTGTGCAAGCTTAATTTAAATGTCAAATTTATCCCATACTCAGTGGGGCATCTTAATAATGATTCAATTAAAACAGTAATATTATATATATTTTTAAAAATTTATATTAAGTTAAAAAATATTTTATAAAAATTAAACTGTTTTTACATTAATAATATATAGCACAATGACTTTATAATGTTTCCGATTACTTTGTCGAATCCAGCTAATGAGCATGGTACATTTCTAGTTGTTGAGCAATTTTATCAATTGGAAATGTTAACATCGCTAAAATTGCAAAATGTGCATGCTTATTTTAAATTAAAATTAATATCAAACTGGAAAGTAAGTTTATTGTCAAAATAATACAAAATTTTAAATTTTTATATAATAAAATTAATTTAGAAATTATTATTTTTATAGATATGGCTGACAATAGTATTTTTTGCAGTATTCAATGCTAATCTTAGATACATTTTTAGAGCATTTAAAGAATTGTTAGTTTTAATTATTAAAATAATGTATAGATTATTAACAGGAATGTCAGCTAAATATATTACATTTAATGAAATTACAAAAATGAAAACTAATAAACATTTATTGTTTATTGCAATGATTGTATGGTTTCTGTTGAGTACAGTCCTATCCCGTAGTTTTGCCAGTGTTTTGTTTAACTTGTATTTTAGGCCAAAACCGATGCGCGTTTGCAGCACTTTAGATGATATCATGACTAACCATCGGATCTATGTCTTAGAACCGAAAAATGCAACAAAAGATTTGTTTCTAATTAAAAAGCAAATGTATTACCACTTAAAAGAGCGTATTTTGAAAAGTCATGAAATGTTTACAATACGTGCAAAGTGGACATTTGGCAATCGCACCGTTACCAACAAAATAACAGATTATTCATTGGCTTTAAATGAGGTACTCAATGGACGGGCTGTTATGTTACAGGACTCGACAACTAATAAAGATATCCTACAAAACTTTCCCATTTCTAATCTAATAACATCTACAGATAATTATTTTCCTCTTAATTTGGCTTATTTTGTTAATCATAAACATAAATATTATACTAATATAACAAAATTGTAAGTATTATAAAAAAATTGTTATGTTTATAAATTAATTTTCTTACACATAAAATAAATTAGTTTTTAAAAATTAAAATTTTATTTTTAGTATTCGCGAAATCATTGATCGAGGCTTTTATGAAAACCTTTTGCGTTTGTATTTTACATCAATTCATAGATTTAGAAGATATGCAGAAATACCAACTAATGATAACAATCAAAAAATTGAGAAATTGAATGAATTGCATGACATAGACAACAATATCATCCGATATAAGGAGGCTAAAGGACTGTTTGTTTTTTTATTTTATGGATACATATTATGTTTACTAACATTTATATTTGAAATCAAGCAATATATATTGAGATCAAAAGTTTATTGTACAAAATTAAGCAAAATCTAAACTAAACTATAGTTTTTAAAATTATATTTTGGTTGTCTTAATTGTAAAATAAATACAGGTATTTTGTTTGTAATAACAATATTAAATTTGTTATATACTTATATTTAATTTTAAATATAGTCTCAGTAATTATATTTTAAAATATGATTAAATTGACATTAATTTTTAAAAATAATGTTATAATATGTAATAATACTGATTTATATAAATATCTCTTCACATTTTGTCTATAAATGCACAATAAAACTGAAATATTATTTAAAACTAAACAATATTTAAAACTAAATATTTTTAATTGTCATAAATTATTATTATCAATAATCAATTGTCATGACTACAACTATACACTTAAATATCACTATAAAATAAATAATTTGTAGAATTATTTTATAATAAAATTATTTAACTTTAATAATTTAACCAATACTTATTTAATAATGTGTTATTTAATTTAATATAATAATATAATTTTATAAAACAAATAATGAAATACCAGTACATTTAAAAGTACAAAAGCATTACAAACGGGTTGTTTTAATTTAGAGATCATTAAAGATGACGTTCCCATTGGAAAAGATGGTTATTATATTATTACTAAAGAAATGAAGAAAAAACATTGAATGGACAGAAAAATATGCCGACTTATACTCAATGGCTAGACGTATATAATGAATGGATAATAAATTTCAGTAAAAGACATAAAATTTATGATGAAATTGATTTGAATGCAAATTATGATATTAAATGTGATTTTTTCAGACATTTCATACAAACTAAATATTTCATAAATTACATACTGAATGAATGAATTTCATTTATAATAATAGAATTTTCATTATCACTGTTACAATTGATGGTAACATTATTGTAAAATTTTAATAATTATATTTATTACTACTCATATTCAAACATTTAAATTATTAATTTTTATTATCATTATTATTAGATTAACTGTATTTTAAATATAAATATAATTTTTATATTAAATTAAATCATATTTAATATTATTGATATTTGGAAGTTTAAAATATAAAACAAATATAATTAAGATATTTTTTATTTTTCATATTTTAAAAAAATATTTAGCAAACTTATCTGAAACAAAATACATATGACCCTCAATTTCAGTTTTCAAGTCTAATATAAAGTATTGTTATATATTGTTAATAAGTGAGTATCAGTAGATTTTGTCACTTAATATTAGTGTGAAATTACTAAAATTAACAGTTAAAGTATACGGCTATAATAAATATAATAAAAAATAATCTGTTAATTACAYATAACCATAGAGATTATAGTTATTATTTGATAAAAGTAAAACAATATGCAACTACTGTACTAATAATCTAAATTACATTAGATTGAGTAATAAATAAAATTACACTATACTATAAATACAATTGCATTATTATTTTTTATGTTTATCATTAGTTAAATCAATTTAAAAACAAAATATTTGTACAAATTAAATAAATAAAGCATAAATATTTCATATAAATTTTGAAATACTGCATGTAAGTCTATGCATATTAATTTTTAAATGTTTTATTATATTATACACTATAAATTTATTAATAGTTATCAAATATTTTTAAAATATTTATTGTAAAAAATGTGTGATACAAAAAATTTAATTGTTTTGAATAATGATGACATAAACTTTAAGCTTTTAATACACGCGAAACGTTTAGAAAATGAGTATCGATTAAGTAGTAACTGCATCGGCGCCGGTACTTATGGTATAGTCATAAAAGCAGAAAACAAAATTGATCTCAAAGAGTATGCCATCAAAATGATTATCATTGTCGGTAAGGAATTATATGATTATATTTTATGGTAAATCAATTAAATTCAATGTATTATTTAGGCGATAATGAAGATGAAATAGAGAATGAGTTTCAAAATAAGATACATGAGCTAAAGGTATGGGCAAAACTCAACTATATTGAGTGCGTTCAATACCGCAGCGCTTGGCTGGAAAAGGATGAACAATCGCGACAACGGTTTCTCAAGTATTGGACAGAAGGTATGACAAAGTGGTCGGTCAAAGATACCGATGAAATTGATTTTCATCGACGTATCCGTGAAAAGGCTAAACATTTTGTAATACTTCACATCCAAATGGATTTATGTTGTCTATCACTTCGAGATGTGTTGACACAAATGGATGACTATTTTCAATCCAATGATAACTTAGATTTACTTTATATCAAATATTATATGTCATCTGAATTGTTGATTGAGATACTGAAAGCAGTCAACCGTTTGCATACAAATCGTCCTGAAATAATACACAGAGATATTAAACCGGAAAATATATTAATACAGCCATATGGTGACCATGGTCATGTCATTAAATTAGGTGATTTTGGACTATCAGTTATACACGAGTACAGTGATCAGTCACATTCAACGATGAAAGGCACCGAACCCTATATGGCTAATGAGGTGATAGAGGGAAGAACAGAAGGACTCCGAGCAACATATGATACCAAAGCTGATGTCTATAGTGTCGGTGTACTYATAACTATGGATTTGTTTAATTTTAATATAAAATTGTAATTTCAATAACTATTATATAATTGTTTACTTTTAAAACTATAATTTATAAATTTATACATTTTATATATAATTTTTAGAATTGAGCAATGTAATTTAAGTGCAAAATATGACCTGATTTGTTCATTGGCTTATATGGCTCAGAGTGGTGTGTTTGCTACCCGACCAACTTGTAAGGACATACTAAATGATAAAAATCAATGGGCGCTAAATATAAGTCATGTCAAACATCTTATTGAAAAATATGTTCAATTGGATAATCAATACGATATAATCACACATTTTATTCAGTATTATTTGCAACAAAAACTTATTTTATTAACTAAATAAAAAATTAAAATAAAAATTAATATAGCATTTAATATTTACTAATGAAATTTATTTAAATTATATTAGTTGATAAAAATAATTAGATTAAATTTGTAGGAACTGAACCATATATAGCACCTGAAGTCAAAAATAGTGGGAATTACATCACCAAAGTTCACATCTATAGCGTGGGTATTATTATTCAAAATATGTTCAATTTTCATATCAATCGGTATTTTTTGCATATAATTTTTATTTATAATTAACTAATTGTTAATTAATTGTTTGGTCAAAAATACATCACATATTAGTTAAGAAACTTTTAAAGGATTACAAAGGATTGATTGAAACAGTTGGTCGAGACATGTTTGGGACCTAATTGTGACACTATTATTGGTGACAAACATAACTGGGTTATAGGCTATGGTTATGTCACAAATGATATCAGCAATCAATTTGGTTACCCTTTTAATACCGTCACCAACTATGACCCGGACACATAATTTGTGCCATATTTTATTAAAATTAAAAGTGGATTTTACAATCATTTATAAAAAAATACAATGAATTAATTGATACTTAATTTTAAATATTAATCCATTTATTAATACTAACTTATATATCAATATAACTAAAAACTATTTAACTGCAGAATTAGTTATATAATTAATTGTTATTAATTGTATGTCATTAATAACTGGTGTCTATTGTAGACCATTTGTCACACGATTGCAATTTCATTCATACATATAATCACATAAAACATCGAAAGTGTGTTTGCATTAGATATTAAAACTAGAATCATATTTATGTACCGAAAACTATTTAATATATCAATTTATGTTTAGTCAACGTTTGTGTGATTATCTTAATAGATATTTTAATTAAGCAAATTACTAAAAAAAATAAATCATATTTTTTAATAATAAAATTTAATTATCAATCAAAACAATGCAAATGTTGTTTGATTTCATCATATAATAGTATTTTTGAATAACAAATCAAATTGAATAAACTTAACCAAAAATATTAGGAACCAAACCGTTAGAAATGATTAATATGATTACGATCTCTAATATTAATATATTAATCAATAATAAAATAATAATATTATGAATATATAAAAGTTTTTTATTTTAATTGTTTTATTTTTATATGAAATGCATTGCATGTGTTGTTTGTATGGTTTAAATCATCAGAAGTTGTGTCAAACAATTGTTAAGTCAGACATCGATTTCATCCAATGATATAATAATGACTGAAGAAGTGAATGTCAATATTGCCGATGAAGTCATTGTTGGCGACAATCAAAGCTGTTGTCAAACAAACTTTGATATCAACGATGATATCAACTTCTTTGATGACATCAATTTTGAGACCATTGATGACAACTTTGTCGACTTTGTACTCAATGACAATAACGACAAAAGTGTTGTCACAAACAACTCTTCGGACACCAATTTGGATGTATTGGAGGATATCATTGAAAGTAAATGTTCTTTCACTCAAAGTAAGCACTTCTTCTTCTTTTGTGTTCAAATTGATTGAACAACTAATTTGAATTCAATTATATCTTCATTTCAGTACTTCATATGTTAGAAACTATTGACAACAATAATGAAACTACAGATCAATCAATTGGTTTGTATTTTTAAAAAAAATTATTTCGACTATTGTTTAGATATACAGAAAGTTTAATAAAAGTTATAAAATTTGTTTTGTTTGTTAAGACAATATTAATGATGAAAGTAATGACAATTGTGTGATAATACCAAAACCCATACCAAAGTCTCACCGAAAGAAGTCGACTGACACTAAATCAGGCAAACAATTAAGGTTTTTATTTAAACAATACGGTCTTCGGGTTAACAAAACTGCCGATCATTTGCCTGCAAATCAAGTGATTGATCCGTCGATCGAGAAAATAACAACAAGAAGTGCTTATAAGTCGACAACAATTACCGGTAATTGTAGGAAAATCTCGACTAAAATACACACAAATAATAATAACAATGACGACGAAGACGACGACGAAGACAACGAAAACAAAGAAGACAACGAAAACAACGAAGACAACGAAGACAACGAAGACAACGAAGACAACGAAAACAACGAAGACAAAGAAGACAAAGAAGACAACGAAGACAACGAAGACAACGAAAACAAAAAAGACAACGAAGACAAAGAAGACAAAGAAGACAAAGAAGACAACGAAGACAACGAAGACAACGAAAACAAAAAAGACAACGAAGACAAAGAAGACAAAGAAGACAACGAAGACAACGAAGACAACGAAAACAAAAAAGACAACGAAGACAAAGAAGACAAAGATGCTGTTGTTGATGATGATGTCAATAACATCTACGACGACAATAACAATTGCAATCATAATAATAATATCATGAAATCGCAACCAAAACCCGTAACAAAAGAAAATATAGTTAATAGCAGACAATTACCATCAATACTAATAAACAAACTCAATATGAATCCAATAATACCATTAATACGATTACAATTACCCTATGAAATGATGCCTATTGTAAAGATACCACTCGTGAGGATGCCAATCATGAAGACTCATTACACTAACAAATTGAAACCAAATCCAAATAGTCTGCTAAGTCATAGATCTGATGACAATACACTTAGTGGTCAACAGAAAGTGGTGTCAAATAAAATAATCAATAATGAAAATAATGAAAGAGTTAGACATAGAGGTCGACCACCAAAATCATTGAAAAATCGAAGTCAAAGTTTAAATATGAATCAAACAATCAAAAGATGTCTGAAAAGGATTGTTTCGAAAAGACATAAATTGATGAATAAAGTCATTATGAATAGAGTTTACCTTAAGATTAAGATATCGCAGCGATGGTCATCAAAGTCATTGCTTAATGTGAGACCAATTAAGTTAATCAGTTAATTGGTATTAATGAAATTTATTGTCACTATATTTTTTATTTTAATTGGTTAATAATTGGGTAGTTTTTATTAGTTGTATATATACCGTAATTAATAATTATCAATTGTATGAATTTGTAAATAATTTGTTAGTTTTTTTTGTTAAAATCAAGTTTTTTTTTATTTTGTTTAAATAACTGAATTGTATTTGATATAATTTTTTGTTAAATACAGCATGTATTTAAAATATTTATGTATAAAAATTTTAGTATTTTTTGTTTGTATAATTGTTAAAATTATGAATTAAAAAAAACTATGTACAGTAATTTGTATTATTATTATGTATTAGATTAGAATTTATAGAATATTTTTCAATTAAAAAATAAATACTGATTTTCATAAATAGATTTTATTTGTATAATTTTATTAATAACATTAGATAATATCAAATATAATTACTTTATCATAAAATAAATACAAATAATCAGTATTTTTATCTAAAACAGATACAACTGGTTGTCTCTCGGGTCACATCATAAGTACACTCTCCACGATTATATCCCTGAACTTTAGTACATTCAATATAACACGGTGTTGAGTTACACGTGTAGATGCACGTGCGTATTCTATTGGTGCCACGCTCGCAACGACTATATGAGAAAACTCCATATGGACCGGGAGGTGTAGTTCCTTGACAGGCGGCAGTATCCATATTAGTACAGGAGCTCTCAACTAAATTATTYATAGTTTAATTAATTAAATAAAACTTTAAATTAATTTTTTTAAATATGCATAAATAAAAGTCTAATTATTTAAATACCTGATTCCCATGAAATTAAAATTGTTGTTAACAATAATATTAATGTTAATTTCATTTTTCAATAATTTTGATTATAGTGTAATAATATCTTATATATTGATAATTCTATTATTGCAGAATATTTTTATATTAAATAATTTATTAAACAACTTGATTTAATTTTAGCTAAACTTTTTATATAAATATAACTTTAATGATCTATTAAAAAATGACATTTATAACATCTTTTAGTTTTAAAATAATTGATTATATATTTTTTATCCAATGATGTCAAAGATAAAACTATTGTTAAAATATTTTTATGACATTGAATTTTTAAATAAAACATAATAAATAATCTACATCTGTATATTGATTTCAGATGTTGTGATTAAGTTATAAGTGTAAAACATTTAAAAATTGTTATAATCACACATATTATAATAAATACATTGAGTTACAAATAAATAATAATAACATGACTATAAAATCTATAAGCAAATAATAAAAATTGATTAACTATTATTACCAATACTTTTTCAGTTATATTTACAATTTCATTGTTATTAGTAATTTGTCAAGCTAACTTTACTTTTGAATAAATTRAATGAATTAATGAAATAGTTATGTTTAATATACAATATATATATAAATTTTCTYTATAAATAAATAATTAAGATTATTATTATCTATTTTGTTATTTAGTGATATTTAAAGATCATTTAAAGATTCATTTAAAAATAATTAATAATTAATTTTGTACACCATTTTGTATTTTCTATATGTAATCAAAATTATAAAAATAAATGATACAGAATCCATATCCATAGTTATCAGAAGTGATTTTTGATCATTTTATAGCTATCCTCTCTATCTATTATAAATTATGTTTAATACTCCCAATAATATTGTAATGAGTAGATTTTATCATTCCTGTTATAACTATAATATATCTTATTTCTATACCGTTTCAATATTATTTTAATAGCATTGCCATTTATATCTGGAAAGTGTTGATTATTTAGATGTTTCATGAGAATTTTTGGGGTGAGTTACTCGCTTCACTTTCCATGCAATGATTTCACGTAAACCACTGGAATGGCCGCCACTATTGGCACAGTACTCCTGTAGTGGTTTAGGCTGTCTTAATTGTACATTGGGCACAATATTAGCTTTTACTACACAATTATTAATACAATCTATGTCTGATTGATCGTAAATTAAGACATTACTACTTTGCGGACCAATTATATAAAAGGTATTATCTCTGGTCCTGAGATTATTTAATTCAATTTGACCTTTACTATCAAACGAAACACTATTTAATGTTAAGACAGACTCATTATTTTGAGAGTTAAGACTCGAAGTCTGTACCACTCGGGTCTGGTCAGAAGCTCTAAGACCAGTAAAAACTATTTTACTAGTTTGGTCACTCACTACACGTGACACAACTATAGTATACTGAAGACAGGACGATACAGTGTTATCAGCATCCATACAATGGCTGGCTAGCCGCAACACTTGCGCTAAAAACAAACAAAAACCGACATTACTCAATGACAACAAATGTCTTGTCGCAATTATAAACTGGTAACTAAAACATAACGATTGACTAACTGGTCGGGCCCTACCAATAATTGCCAACGAGAGAAGCCTCAAAGCCTCCCTCTAACCAAAACATGCAACTCAATGCCCAATCTACTAGTAAGACTGAGTCTAAGGGTCAGTACCATCACTCGGTACTACCGTCGGTAAAACCGGCGTATAGTCTATTCAAATACCCACTATAGGATAAGTAATGCTATACCCGTTGACCAACCCTGTGGCCAAACTATAAATCAGAGTCCTCTGACTCTGATGACATAACCATGGGATCGTCACAAGCAATCTCTGGGGGAATCTAACCCATATATGTCCGCCAAGCCGTGCCTACCCGGCACTAAATAAAGGCGTTTAAACACTAGTTAAACCCTACCCAACACTCGTCGGTGAAATGTGATAACACCCGAAACCTTTGTTACGGTGACTATCACTGGACTACTAATCTGTACTGTATAACATTACAACAGACAACAAAATTACATTCAACTAACATACATAGACAAGGACTATATTAGACAAAATTGTATGTGTGGTGGCGTCAATGATAAGGCGCTCATTAACTACAGCAAGCGGTGTCGCGTACACAACCGCCGCCGCATCGGTCAACGAATGCATCGCCGGAGAGTCACCGATCACATAAATTAACATAAATCTATAGAAACACATCATACACTCAAGTACGATAAAGACAATACATGACCGACAGATTGCTGACAGTATTACAAAATTATCGTAACATTTCTATTATCTCACATACGGTATTCAGTTAAATCTGGTCAGACATAACTATGTCGTCTCTGGGGTCAATTGACATCACCTATAGGTTTTTGGCCGTGATATTGTAAGAACAGTGCATATGTAACAACAATAAACTATTAGGTGTCCAAATATTTATTTATACCGGGTCAGTCAATCCCGAAGGTGACTATAGACTCATAAAGTTAAGGCAAACCTTAACTATACTCTCGGATCACTATTGAGGAGCGTATGTTAACGGTCTTAAACTCAGTGTCCGTTATCGGCTATTAACACACAATCACGCGATCGGGAGACCGGAACCCTCTTGGGACCACTGGCCTGCCTAGTCAGTCGGTATCGAATAGTAACTATGCATTTCCCAACTAGGTTAGCGAAAGCACATATGTACTCGAGAAATCCACTGCTATGCATTCACACACACATTCACTCAGCCGATAATTACAACAATCAACCAAACTAGTGCTATTGTCACGAAGACAGCAACTATTGGATCACCTAGTAAATTGTATTTTAAGGTCAGACTATTAGTGTTAAATAACACTGAGAACCGACAAAACTACAACTGTTTCACTAAGACGTAGGACTATTGCCGAAAAATCGGGCAGAGCCTTCGGCGGCCTGGTACAATCTCGGGGATGTCGGAGACTTCCATATGACACATATAGTAGTCTATACCAACAATAACTAAGTATAGGTCAAAAGAGGTAAGGGAGGAGGACAGCGTAGCCGTACAGATCTCTCGACACGACAGACCCGTTAGCACACTATCAATGGTAAAGGAATGACGGCAGGACCGTACGAATCCCCCGACACGGCGGATCCGATGGTCAACCATCATAAGGTAGGTTAGGATAAGGTATGGTATCATCATATAACTGGACCGGACCCCCCGACACGGCGGATCCGACCATTAGCTATTTTCGCGGAAAGGTTCGACAACATGACCGAACAGATCCCCCGACACGGCGGAACCGTCTGGCCAGTCATCTTACCTTAAGACTGTAGATAAGAAGGGACCTTTACGATACTGGAGCTCCCGACGCGGGAACCCACGGATTTAGGTCGCTTAGAGAAGGTAGGAGACAATAAAAGTAAAAACTCACATTAAAATCCAAAGGCTTTTATTTTAAAATGACATCAATACGAGGTATACATCCAAGTATACGGACCATATCAGAGAAGGGGGTCGAACCAGAAGGGGAGAGAACTGATCTGCTAACGGCTCTTAGCAGTACTAGTCTTATGCCGAGTGACTACCAGTATCTCAATGATAAAATCATTGAGAATACTTGGGGTTTTATAGTCTCGGTCGCATCAATATAAATTTTCAAGGGTGTATGGGAATATTTTAGTGATGCGTTGGTGCCAGAAATCACTACAATATTATACTATTTATACTATGTTATGTAATGATTGATGTCTAAAATTGGTAATTCTGGCACTGAGTAGGGAAAATTTTATATAGATTTATTCTACAGTTAGGGAGAGGAGTTTGGATTTTTGGCACCGAACATTTGTGTATTGTAGTATATTTATGTATTAATTTAATGTTACTAAAAAAATTCTTTTGTGAGTATTATATATATATATATATATAAGGATATTATTATATAATAGATTTTATATTGACATCACTCCCTTCTCCCTGTAGATTCGACTCGAATCTCATGATATCTGTCCGCTTATAAAGATTAAAATTACAATTAAACATTAAAAACATCAATTATTAAATAGGATATAAAGTAAAATTGTTATAAATGTAATATAAATGTTATAATAAATATGTTTAAATATTAATTATATAATATTGATTAGAGTATAATATTAAGTTACACTAATAGGTGTTTATATTGGGAAATATT